TCCGTGCGGGACGCACATTCGCAACCCGCGTCTGCGCAGGTTGCGATTCGGCGCTTCTGCGTATAGCGCAATTTAGCGCTTCTGTGCATACGCAACTTCCGAAACCCGGAAGTAACCCATTCCAGTACTTCCGGGTTTCGGCAGTCCGCAACCTGAAAAAACGCAACCTGAAGTGGATGCAGCATGAGGTATGACTGTACTTGGATGTGGAAGGCCCAGATTCAGTCCCTGACATTTCTGCTTGGCAAATCATCTCAGGTAGCAGAGCTTGGTCAGGGCTTCTGTCAGCCTGATACCTTGGGGACCTGCTGTCAGCCTTGAGTAGACAACGGCTGCACCCACTCTATGATACCACTTTAAGAGTCCTGGCTTCCCCCAAAGAACGGTTGGAGTTGTAATTTGTTAAGAGACCCCCTATCTCCCTCACAGAGCCACAATACCCAGAGTTCCCTTCAAAGAGGGATTGATTTTTAAACCACTCTGAGAATGGTGGCTGTGTCTTTCCTAACAACACTCTGCACCTTGAACAAACTACCACTCCCAGGATTCTTAAGGATGCTGTTAATGTAGAGTGCAGATGTGGCCAATGCTAAGCTATACAGACCTGTTTGCCTGTAACTTCTCTTTAAGTAACTACCATATTTTTTGCTCTATAAGACTCACTTTTTCCCTCCTAAAAAGTAAGGGGCAATGTGTGTGCGTCTTATGGAGTGAATGCAGGCTGCGTAGCTATCACAGAAGCCAGAACAGCAAGAGGGATTGCTGCTTTCACTGCGCAGCTGTTCTTGCTGTTCTGGCTTCTGAGATTCAGAATATTTTTTTCCTTGTTTTCCTCCTCCAAAAACTATGTGCGTCTTGTGGTCTGGTGCGTCTTATAGAGCGAAAAATACGGTACCTGCTTCGGATGAGTAAAAAAATGGATGCAGGCAACTAAGTTAAGTTCAAACACGTGGACCAGTAAATGTTTCTGTGGCTATTTGTGAGTTTGGAGCTGTGACCGAGGAAACAACCAGCACCAGTTTTCTTTCATTAATCACTGAAGGACAAGTAAAGCAAATGGATGAATGACCGTAGCAAGGCTTGCAGTGTTGTGCTTGAGGAGTTTGAAACATTGTGTTGCAAAAGTGATCCGGGAGCTCTTAATCCACTCCATATGCACTACTTGTTGCCTTGGAGACAAATGTAATCAAAGGGCTCTTCCTTCCCACCCCTTTCCTCACTTTTTATCATAAGATTCTGTTGAATTACGGCTTTCGAAGTGTGGTGGAGTATCATGCGAAATGTTGGAAAGATGGAAATTCAATCACTGAGTGATTGGTCTAAACTCCATTGATTTGGAAAAGTGAAGGGTTGTTTTTATCCTTCCTGAAGAACCACACAAGGTGTTCTTCACACCTTTTCCATATCAAATAAAATATTGTCAGTGTCTGCTTTAAAAAAAACCTTTAGTATTTCACAACTCACATGTAATCATTCTGCTAGTGGGATAAGGATACTTCAACCTGGAACTTAGCTCACTGACAGCTCTCAACTGAAAAAGGCTGTAACATCGAGCAAACTTTCTCTTTATTGGAAGTTCTGGTATGTGATCAGCCTTTTTTTGGCTGCTTCACATTTTCATAGAGTCATAGAATTGTAGAGTTGGAAGGGACCCTGAGGGTCATCTAGTCCAACTCTCTGCAATGCAGCTCATAGTTTGCCAACTTATCCACAAGAATATCATGGGAGACTTTGTCAAAAGTCTTGCTGAAATCAAGATATACTGCATCCTTGCATTCCCTTGATCCACCAAGCTTGTAACTCTATTGAAAAGAAATGAGTTTCATCTGCCACGGCTTATTTTAGAGCAGAGCTTTCCAAACTGTGTGTTGCGACGTGTGTCAGCTGCATTGTGTAAGTGTGTCACATGAACATTGCCCGTGCTCCTCCCAGGGCAGGAAAGGGGTTGGTTTAACCTTCAGTTTGCTACTAAAACTAAATTACTGTGTCACAAAATGATGCAAGTCTAAAAAGTGTGTCACCAACATGAAATGTTTGGAAAGCTCTGTTTTAGAGAAACCCATGTTGGGTCTTAGTAATTACAGCATCCTTTTCTAAGTGCTCACAGACTAACTGTTGAATTATCTGTTCTAGGACCTTTCCTGGTACTGATGTCAAGCTGACCGGTTAATAGTTACCTGGGTCTTCTTTTTACCCCTTTTTGAAGATGGGAACAACATTTGCTCACCTCCAGTCCACAGGGACATTATCTGTTCCCCAAGAATTCTCAAAGAGGCTGCTTTAGTAGTACCCTTGGGTGCAGCTCATCAGGCCCTGGAGATTGGAATTCATTTAAAGTACAGTGGTACCTCGGGTTAAGTACTTAATTCGTTCTGGAGGTCCGTTCTTAACCTGAAACTGTTCTTAACCTGAAGCACCACTTTAGCTAACGGGGCCTCCCGCTGCTGCTGCCACACCGCCACCGTGCGATTTCTGTTCTCATCCTGCAGCAAAGTTCTTAACCTGAGGTACTATTTCTGGGTTAGCGGAGTCTGTAACCTGAAGCATCTGTAACCAGGTGTTCCCTTACTACCTCTTTTTCTTTCTCAGGCTGCAGCTCCCTCCTTCCATAATTTATTCTGTTATCACCAGGTAGAGCAGTGCTTTCCTTTTGAGTGAAGACAGAGGCAAAGTAGGTGCTGAGCAGTTCTCTCTTCTCTCTGTCTCCATCTTTCCCCTGCAAAGGACCTACTACTGGCTTGTCCTTCCTCTTGCTTCAAACATAGCAGAAGAAACCTATTATTATTATTATTATTATTATTATTATTATTATTATTATTATTATTGACCTCTCTTGTGAACCTGAGAATGATCTGAGCTTTGGCCCACCTGACTTTCTCCCTGCAGCTAATGGATACTCGTGCATACTCTTCCTTCATGATTCCCCCCCCCCATTTCTTATACATGCTCTTTATAAAAATTTGGCTCATCCTCAAGCTCCTTATGCCGCCATCTTTAGATGCCTCAGAGTTTTCTTTCTTGTTAGAATTATCTGTCTTTGTGCCTTCAATATTTCACCTTTAAGAAACTCTCTGTATTCTCATCCTTTTGTTGTCGTTTAGTCGTGTCCGACTCTTTGTGACCCCATGGACCAGAGCACGCCATCTCATCCTTTTAGTGAACCCCTAATTTTCTCAGTTGAAAGTGATTAGGATTTTTCTCCATGTAAGTACAGGACGCGGGTGGCGCTGTGGGTAAAAGCCTCAGCGCCTAGAGCTTGCCAATCGAAAGGTCAGCGGTTCGAATCCCCGCGGCGGGGTGCGCTCCTGCTGCTCGGTCCCAGCGCCTGCACTGCACTGCATTGTGGTTATTTGTAAGCTGCTTTGGGAGCCGCTTATCAACCCTCCCGACATAGCAAAACCTACCACAGTTGCGTGCTATATTTCTGTGTTAACTGTCATGCCAAATATTTAATAGACAGGCTGCTGAAGCTGTACAAGAAACCAGGCTACTGTAGCATTCTAGGCGTTCCTCCTCACCAAATCACATCTACCCTGGATGCATCTTGGAATTTTCACCAGCTATATTGTTTGTATGATATCACAAAAAAGAATGGCTATAGTAGCTCTTACTTGTGAACTTTAAGAAGAATGGCTAAGATTTGCTCATTGCTAGTTCACATGGCTATTGAGTGCACAGCCCATCATTTCAGGTTATTCTAGTTTCACTCTAGTTTTCTTGTAGTAAAGTGGTGCTCTTTAAGTACTGTTTCGAACATAGGTTTAATAGCAATGCCCTGAGCCATTAACCGTAGTGGAATGCTTGGATGGTTGCCTTCCATAAGTAAGATAGAGTCATCTGTATGAATTGTAATTGAATTTGGGGATGGAAGGGAAACATTCCCTATGCAAACCTTCCTGACTGACCTGATCTGGGAGTCCCTGAAATGTTGTAATTCCTTCTAATAACGGTGGCACATTCCCAGTAGTGTAATAAATGGGGATAGGATGTGTTGTCCATCCTGGTATTTTTTTGAACGTGCCCCTCAGAGAAGATTAGGGCAATGAGCACGGACCCCGTTGTGCAAGCAGAAGTCCTTGCGCTAACAGGAGGCGGACTTCGTGGGATACAACCCACCGTGTTTGGTTCCTGAATCAATGTTGTTTCTGCCACTTAAGAGTGCATTTTTTATGTTAGTGCAAGAACTTCCACTTGCACAACAGAATTTCCCCTCCCTGCCCTCTTCCACATGTAATTCTGCTCTCAAGTTCTGTTTGCACTGACAAGGACGAGTTGGTTGAATGCCACCCCTAATTACCAGTTGCAAGGGAATAGAAGTGGAATCCTCTGAACTTGAAAATAGTAAATTTTGTTTAAGCCTTACCTGTTGCAGGCAAGCTAAACTGATTACGATTCTCTCAGGCTAAAACTGAAATTCTAGATCTCCCAAACAGAAACCTAGGCTTCATATATTAAGATTTATTTTAATTATTACACTTGGTGTGAACCAGACATAGTAGGTGGAGTTGAGGGATTAAGTATTTTGTGGTAAGGTGGCACTCATGATTTGTGGTATTAGCAACACTTAGTTTTTTAAAAAAGTTGCTTAGGGAGCTTAAGCCCACCCCCCTCCAAGTTTCTTTTACAGCACCCAGAATAACAGTTTTAGTTTCCTGTCTGCGAAGCTTCTTTATCTTCCAACTTGGTCATGAAGAATAATTATGATATTTCAATATGTGGTATGTGTGCTGCATTGACAGAGAGGGAGAGAGAATTTCCAGAAAACTGCTGAACAGAGCACAGTAGTAGCTATTTTCACAGTTTACATACAATATCAGACTGCCCCAATTCCTTCTTAAACATCAAAACTGAAATACAGCTGCACCTAAACTAGCATTTGTAGCAGAAAAATGAGATCTGTTGTTCTTCATAAGCAGGAAGGAATATTCTCGGTTTTCTGAAAAAACTTAGAGATACACTTACGTCATTTAAAATGATTTTTTTTTTATCCTCCTTTGCAGAGTATTGGGAAAGGGTCTTTATGGTGTATAGACCCAGAATATAGACAAAATCTTATCCAGGCTTTGAAAAAGACCCCCTATCACCCATATTCGCATGTGTTCAGCACCCCTCCAGCGTCTCCTCAGGCATATCAAAGGTAAGAAAACTTGAATATAATTTTAACCTGGGCAGTTGCTTTTGTCTTGTCTCAAATACTGGATCAGGCAAGGTCTAGAAATCGGGGAGGGCTGCTAACAACATTATGTAGTCTAGCTTTTACTAGAATTCCACTGCTTGATGGGCTAGCAAAGGCGCTTACTGCGCTTATCACAAATTAGTTGTACTTTAACTGTTGAAAGATCCAAAGTATGCACTCTTGGTATGTAAATTTAGCTCTAATTGTGCATATTTGGGATCTTTTAAGGCACAACTAATTGTGATAAGCGATCCCAGGTATGTAATCTTGCTTAACAGCACAGGATGCACTTTGCTGGTTTAAACAAAAACCCACCTAATTCACTGGTTTTTTTGCAAGAAACACAGCAACCTGTTAGCTCTCAGTGGCCCGCTGGAAACTCACTGGTGGCCCAGTGGAGACAAATTAGACCACAGTCTGTCTTCTGCCCTGCTATAAAGGACTATAGCAACTGCAGAAAGCATGGTAGTTCCCTAAACTTATTGGTACTTAAATCGTTGGTTAGAGCCGCAGTATGTCTTACCGGTTTTGGAGGAACCGACCTGTTCATTTGCAGTTTGTCATTGTAAGTTTCCAGTGCTCCTTTGGATGTTTCTGAAAAAGATTCTAGCTGCTTGTGCTCAGGGCCATAGCTGGAGTTTTAAAAGGGAAAGGAAACCGGCTGGGTTTTCCTCTTTGCTTGCACGAATAGATGTGTACCTCTTTGGAAGCAGGTCACTGGTGCTTTTTGTCCTCCTAGCTCCCTACTTGGTAGATCGCTTTGTCAACGCAGCTATATAAACTTTTGCTTCTAGGTAACAGGAAGCTTCCCTTGCTGTTGTGGTTACCTGCTCTGTGAGGCGAGTGTGTCTGTGCATGGTTATGCCTAGTTGCCATAGCTCACTCCTGTTCATCTTGTAAAAAAGGTGAACCCAGGACTGGTGACTTTGAAATGTCATTGGAGGGGGAAAATGGAAGTACTACTTGAACAGTGATTGTTTGTTTCTTGTTTGTCCTACTCAGGGGAAAGTATGAGATAATTACGGGGTATCAAACCACCTGCTTTTCATAACAACCATTCGGGAAATGAATTATTTGTTTCTAGAAACGGAGGATCAAATCACATCTGCACGTAGGACAACAATAGGCAAATTTATAAATAATAATAAATTAGAAACTTGTGTAACCTGTTGCACAAATTAGATCTAAGCTACACCCTACCTGGCTGCAGATATATATGTCTGTTGCCCGTGTTAAAAGCCGATAAGGAATTTTAAATGTGTATTTAGATGGGGATTTTGGGGGTGGTGCAATACTCTTCTGCCCCCCCCCTCAAGTTATATCACTTCTTCCCTGCTTTTAAGAAGCCAGCAACATGCAAAGTAATTTCGTTCTGGTAACGTTAATGAGGTTCTCGTGCATCTGTGTTGATCCGCGCGTTCCATCACATGGCCCAGACAATCAATCTTCAGGCAGAGATTGGGAGGAACAGCTGGGCTTTTGCAGGAGATGGCTGTATGTCTGCCCTTGCTAGGCGATTAGCGTGATGGTAACCATAGCGACTAGAACGTCTCCATAGCAACGCATAGCTGAGACAGGTGCAGTTGCATCACAAGGCTGTTGCCTGGCAAAAGGACAGGCCATTAGTACTAAGATATACGCTGTTGCCTTAGTAACGGATAACCCTACATAGCAACTACAGTGGACTTGCAGCATTTTTTACCCTCCTGATTAAGGAAAATAATAATAATAAGAGACATTCTACCAGGCTGTTGTTGTTGTTGTTGTTTTAATCTATGATCAGCAGCAACGGGAGCTCTCACTGCCAGGGTGTCTGTTGCTAAAAGGTGTACTGAATGTGAGATTGAGCACTGATGACAGAAGGAGGTGAAGAGCTGTGCCTAAGGAATTGATACTAGCTGTAGCAAGTTGAATATTGGAGGTTAAGGCTGCCATCTCATGTTTGCCACCATTGAACTTAATGAGGTTTATGTCTTGGTAGACGTTATTAGTTGGGACGCGGGTGGCGCTATGGGTTAAACCACAGAGCCTAGGACTTGCCGATCAGAAGGTCGGCGGTTTGAATCCCCGCGACGGGGTGAGCTCCCGTTGCTCGGTCCCTGCTCCTGCCAACCTAGCAGTTTGAAAGCACGTCAAGTGCAAGTAGATAAACAGGTACCGCTCCAGCGGGAAGGTAAACGGCGTTTCCGTGCGCTGCTCTGGTTCGCCAGAAGCGGCTTAGTCATGCTGGCCACATGATCCGGAAGCTGTATGCCAGCTCCCTCGGCCAGTAAAGCGAGATGAGCGCCGCAACCGCAGAGTTGGTCACGACTGGACCTAATAATGGTCAGGGTTACCTTTACCTAGACATTATTAGTAGCAGCAGCAATAGTGAGATCAAGCATTTTTGCCCTGCTTTAGTGAGATCAAGCATTTTGCCCTGTAAAAGGTTTCCAGAGTTCTATAGGCAGGTCTGTGCTCAGGCTTACATTCTAAAATACATGACATACAAGGGGAAAGGGATGGAGAGGGAGGAGGAAAAAGGCAAGTTAGGGCACTAGTTCTTGATGACCACCTGGGAAGGAAACAGTTTAGGGCAGAGGTTTTCAACCTTTTTGAATCCATGGCTCCCTGGACCAACTACATTTTTTCTGCGGCAACCCTGTGAGGCTCAGGAGCCCAGTTATATCCCCCCTTGCCCTTTTCCAAACACCTTCCCTTGTGGAGTGTTCCCTCAGCCTCCTCTCGTCTCCCCTCTCTTGGGGAGTCCTCTGGGCTGTTGGAACTGCCGCTTCTGGTCTCTGAGCTGCCCCCTCTACCCCCAAAGAGAGCTGCCTCCTTACACAGGTTCTGTAACCTGAAGCGTATGTAACCCGAGGTACCACTGTAGTTGGAGGGGGGACCCAAAGGCAACTGGTATCTGCAGAGGCAATGGAACAGTGCTGGTTCCCATCTCTACTCTGTCCTGCAGCCTGATGGAGATGTACAGTGGTACCTCGGGTTACAGACACTCCAGGTTACAGACGCTTCAGGTTACAGACTCCCCTAACCCAGAAATATTACCTCGGGTTAAGAACTTTGCTTCAGGATGAGAACAGAAATTGTGCTCTGGCGGCATGGTGGCAGCGGGACGCCCCATTAGCTAAAGCGGCGCTTCAGGTTAAGAACAGTTTCAGGTTAAGAACGGACCTCTGGAACGAATTAAGTACTTAACCCGAGGTACCACTGTATATGGGTTTGTTTACGCTGGCATATATAAAATTGTGTTGTTAATACCTGCTTTATACTCCCAAACGTGCCCCCCCAGTAAATTCCACAATAGTCTCTTTGATGTTTGTGTTTTTCCCCTGTATCCCTCCCTGAATTAGTCACCAATCTGCTCTGGCCCAAAGTAACTAAATGTTTTGTAGCCTGACCTTATAGAGCCACAACAGTACAAGCCAAGACTTACGCTACAGCAGAACAACAGCAATATCTTATCTCTGCCATGCATAGCTTGACCCTAAGTGGCACTCACAGTTTGGGAGGGCAGGAGAGTACTGTCAGGGACAAAGGCATTTAAGAGGGTGCATGGAAGGGTCAGAACTTTATCCACACCAACTCGGCACATGAAGCTGCTGCAGGGCTTGGCTATGGTGTCATTTACTGGCATAGTAGTTGTTTGTTTAGAACAGGCATCCCCAAACTGTGGCCCTCCAGATGTTTTGGCCTACAACTCCCATGATCCCTAGCTAACAGGACCAGTGGTCAGGGATGATGGGAATTGTAGTCCAAAACATCTGGAGGGCCGAAGGTTGGGGATGCCTGGTTTAGAACTAGTTGACTACGGTGATTAAGAACCCGGTGAGATGGGAAGATCCCAGCTCCCTTATGGGAAGGGCTCCTGGTGATCCTGGTTATAAATCTTGTCCCTGTGACTTTATTGGTGTGCTTTTGTTATTTGTAAATCCCCGTGGAATAATCTGTAATCAATTAACATTCCCTCTACCACCTCAGTTGTTGCCAAGGCTTTTTTTCAGCCAGAACTCAGTTCCGGCACCTCTCAGGTGGGCGCCATTGCTATTCTAAGAGAACATGGGAGGTGTTCATGGAGAGTTCTGGCACCTCTTTTTCTAGAAAAATTCCATTGGTTGCCGATGTTATATAGATAACTGAACCACATGATTTCAACGGTGCCCTTCTATGGAGGCCTTTGCAGAGCTTGTGTTAAGATCGGGGTGGGAATTTTGTTAGAATAAAGTTATAAACTGAAACAAAAAAGTAGCCAGTCCCTCGCCCCTTACAGGCCTGCTTTCATGGATAGAAGGTGCTTTTGGAGCCCTCCATTAATGGAAGAGATTGTGGTTTTCACTTATTTCCCCCTTTTCCACCAGTGTTAGAAACTGGGATAGAAAAGCTAGGAGCCAAATGCCTCCTGGGACCTGGGTTGTGGGCGCCAAAACAGAGTGTCTAGTTGCCATTGGGGGGTGGGGTTCAACAACACTTTCTATTTATTACTTCGATATTACACAATTCACATAAGTGACACAGTATCACAGTTTTAAGAGAAGTTGTTAATCCATGTTTAATTTGGAGTTTACAGTAAAAAATATTGGCACTGTACTTCAGTTTTCAAAACACTCTACCCTTTATTGTTAAACTCCTTAACGTATTGTCTATCCTTAACATATACTTCAAGGCTTCAAAGCACATACATTTCAGTAATCCTTGAGTGTCAGTCAGGCACACAAAAAATGCACCCAGACTTTTTTAAAGGTAAAGGTAAAGGTACCCCTGCCCGTACAGGCCAGTCTTGACAGACTCTAGGGTTGTGCACCCATCTCACTTAAGAGGCTGGGGGCCAGCGCTGTCCGGAGACACTTCCGGATCACGTGGCCAGCGTGACAAAGCTGCATCTGGCGAGCCAGCGCAGCACACGGAACGCTGTTTACCTTCCCACTGGTAAGCGGTCCCTATTTATCTACTTGCACCCGGGGGTGCTT